AGTCGCGCGTCCGCGCTGCTCAGAGCTCTGGCCATTTCTCCATGTAGCTCGTAGGCGCCACTGCGGCCCGTTGTCGACGTGCACGTTTCCGAGCAGTCATCGTCCGAGTTCCTCGGAGAAGTTCTAGCAAGGCTGTTAACATTGATTCTTCGTGACCCCGGTAATATTTGCAACCTTCTTCCCTGCTTGTGGGATTTCCCTTGCAAGCATCTATCAAACACAAAACCGGACAGACCCTCCGTGCTATTCCGGCACCGAGCGTCAGACGTTCTTCGGGGTCAAGATCCGAGTGGCGAATGGCCACGATGCCCGATTGCTCGAAGAGCAGGGCCACATGTAAGAAGAGAAGACATGTTCGTATATGGAAAGGATTTGCAGCAATACACATCTTGAGCCGGAGCGGCTTTTCAGGACAACTTCTGTTCGAAGCTTCGAATCTCGGTGCTGCACAGCAACACTACAGGTTCACAGTCGGCAGTAGCCTAGCAGAGCCTTGGAACAGCACCATGTCCTCAAGGTCGGTAGCAGCAAGCTCAACCATCAATGCTGCCACCACCACCAAAACCGCCTCCACCACCGGCACCAAGACAGCAACTACATCGACGGTAGAAACCACAGCCTCACAGAAATTCAGGAAAAAAGGCACGAGTCGATCGGCATGATTTTCGGCAGAGCACTGAGCACCACGATCACCAACACCGCCATCAGGAACTCCAATGCAAAGAAAGTTAAGTGCAGAGTCAGTGGGAGCTTGTCGCGCTAAAACACCTGTGCAGACAGCGCAAGATGAAGACAACATTGCAAATTTTCACCTCCACATTGGAAGACGTTCGCAAACTCAGATGGTCTGCGTGTCTGAGCTAAGCTTCCTTGTTCTGGGATTCAAATAGCAATGATAGCACTAATGATAATCCCAATAATAATCCAGAGCAGAATCCCAGCGAAGGCCTCCTGAGGCACGTGCCAGCATGGAGCACATCCTTGCCGTCGCCATCTCGCCACTTCTTGGACTCAAGCAACTGCCCTAAACCCTAAACCTTAAACCCTAAACCCTAAACCCTAACAGCATATGACTCTGGCCTTGCCCCACATGTCGAAGCCCCGGACATGTGAAGGCCGCTTGTAAAGGAATCCCGGTATGTCCAGATATTACTTGGGCAGTTGAGGCTGCAGCTTCGGTTCAAGGATGGGGATGCCATTTTGTGCCCGTAGGTGTCTTGGACCGGAAGTGTGTCTATGGGTTCGGAGTGCATGACAACTGCTTAGCGACGAAAGCCTGCAAGATGTAGTCGGGGAGTGCAGTATGCTAACGAACATGACAGCGTGGGCAGGTTGTCCACATAGGTGGACTCTACCTCGAGCAGAAAGCTGGCCAGCAATGCCTGCATGTTGTATCAGATGTCTCTCATTTCACGGAAAAATCTTCATGGAGATGTGTGTATGTATGTATGTATATATATATATATGTGTATATGTGGATTTCTAGAGAGCTAACGCATGAGTGAGCCCGTAGACTTAGAGCCTCAGTCGGCGCGGTAGACACCACGCCGCAATACCCGACACGACAGCTCCAAGACTGCTACATACTCAACATGATCCACGAAAACATATGGGGCTTTCCGAAAATTTGGGCACCTTATTTTGGGGTCCTTATAATAAGGATCCTATTTGGGCTACTATATTAGGGTCCCCTATTTTTCGGAAACCCCCATTTGCGAGCAAAACGCATGTCTGTCATGGTTAGGCTATGATTCCGGGCAACTGTGCATGGGCGGCTTGGAATCTCAATCATGCATGTGCAAAAGCGATTCCTGAGTTTTAGAGTCTTATACGAGACTCAGAGGCTCAACATGCAAGCAAGCCCTCCCGCATGCATGCACATGCGGATACACCCGCAATCTACAAACCTACAATCTAATCAACACCGATGAAGACAAAACCATGAACAACGAGTGTGCGTATGTAGGTGTGCATTTGTACATGTATACGTATACATGCATGCATACGTCCGTGTACACATGCATATGTGCATGAGTGCACGTGCACATACACATGTGCAAAAAGGAACACATGCATGCATGCGCACATAATGCACACATAACGCATGCATGCACACAAACATACATGCATACATACATACATACGTACATACATACGTGCATACATACATACATACATACATACTTACTTACTTACATACATACATACATGCGTACATACATACATACATACATACATACATACATACATACATACATACACACATACATACAGACATACATACGGACATACATACATACATACATACATACTTACTTACTTACTTACTTACTTACTTACTTACACACACACATACGTACATACATACATACATATATACATACATACATACATACATACATACATACATACATACATACATACATACACACATACATACATACACACATGCATCAATACATCCATAAATGGCTACATGCATGCATGCATAGATACATACATACATAAACAACAGAACCAAATAACAACAAACACAACAAACAGTACAAACAAACACGCGAAACAAAACAAACAAGCAAACAAACATTCACACTTTCACACATACACACATACATACATACATACATCCATGCATACATCCATTACATTACATTACATTACATTATATTACATTACATTACATTACATTACATTACATTACATCGCATCACATCACATCACATCACATTACATGACATGACATGACATGACATGACATGAATTACATTACATTACATTACATTACATTACATTACATTACATTACATTACATTACATTACATTACATTACATTACATTACATTACATACATACACGCACACACATGCATGCATACATTCAGTCATACATACGTAGGTGCACACCCAGAGGTGCATTCAACATATGTGTAGGTGTATATATATATATATATGTATATGGGTATTCATGAACACCAATATGTGCATATGTGTATGTGTATGTGTGTATATATATATATATATATATTATGTGTGTGTGTGTGTGTGTGTTCGTGTGCGTGTGTGCGTGTGTTTGTGTGAGCGCGTCGTGCACGCACCTGAAACGACGGTTTCTGATTGAGGCTTTGCTCTTTTGGAGCCACTCCTTTCGCACGCTGCAGGGCGCGGCAGAAGCGAGCGCTGAGGGCACGACGGAAGGACCAGCGAGGGGGTTCAAGATCAAGCATGGGGGATGAAGTTAAGGAAATGGGATGCGAGTCAAAGCTTATGAAACTGGTCAACCTGGCACCGCGCGAGTCCTTTCTTGCGGGGCCCTCTTTGCTTCCCTAACCAAAGGATCCATGGTACTTGGATAACTAATCAATGCGGCCGAAGCCCCCGTGTCCTATATCTCGGATGCTTTTAGTTCAGCCTATCCCGTCAAATGGACCTTAGGCCCCTGACCATCCCTGTTGCTTTGTTTTTGTTCTCTCTCTCTCCCTCTCTCTCTCCCTCTCTCTCTCCCTTTCTCTCCCCACATGTACGTTTTGAGTATACATACATACATATATATATATATGTGTTTTATAGATATACAACAGTACGTATGTAACTGGGAAGTGTGTAAGGGAACATGCATCTATGTATAAGCACAGGTACTACATGGGTGGTTGTCAAAACTATGGTCCCTTTTTGGGTCCTTATTATAATACGGCACCTATTATTTAGGGTACCCCAAAAGGGACCATAATTTTGACAGCTACCCACATGTGTAGCACCGAAGACCCGCAACCCACACTCTGGCTATTCCCGGTCTTTCCGCAAACTTCGTCCAACCCTAAGCCCTTACCCTAAACCCTAAACCCTAAACCCTGAAGGGTTTAGGGTTTAGGGTTCTTAAACGCAGAACCCTTCCGACCCGAACCCTTCCGACCCCTGAAGTCTTGACCATCTAACCCAGGAGCCTGCTATAGGACCGAGGTTTCTTAATCAGGTTCCTACACTCGCGAAAACTGGAGACATCTGGACCCTTTGGGCTCCAAGGCTGGCAGAGCCGCAGTTGGTTAGAATCAGCGTATGCCACCACTATACAGGCTGATTTTAAGGACTTAGGATGCTAGTCTTATGGCTTGCGAGGCGCTGTGCAGGGGTTTAGAGGTAAAAAGTTGCCTCTCAACTAAGGAGCACTCCTTCAATCATACTACAGGAAGTCCTCCATAGCTTAAGGATACTTTCTTATCGACGGTCTAGTGTGTTCAAGAATAGACCGGCAGTGTGGAGGCTCGCGCTGGAGATGTCCCATGTTCCAGAGCCAGACATCACAGTCTGTGACGCTTACACTCCATATTTCAGCCTTGTGAGAAGAAATACCCTGTTGAACCTCTGACGCACTACCAAAACTAAACTAGACTAAAAAGCCTTACTGTGATCTACCAGCCCCCCCAAAAACCGCAGGATTGTTGCCTCGACTGCCAGTCAAAACAACTGAGCCCCAAGCCTTCGCCCTAAACCCCTAAACCCATGAACCCCTAAACCCCCAAACCCCTAAACCCCTATACCCATGAACCCCTAAACCCCCAAACCCCCCAAGCCCCTAAACCCCTAAGCAATAGCCCCTGAAACCCCCTGCGCTTTAGACGCTAGAAACATTAGGGTTCAGGATTTAGGGGTTTAGGGTTTGAGGGTTTAGGATTTTTTGTTAAGTGTCATGGCGGGGTTTAGGGGTTTAGGGTTTAGGGGTCTAGGGTTTGGGGTATAAAAACCCACGTAGTTTCAGGCACAGTTCTTGGTTGTCAAAAGCACGCTAGAAAAGTCTGCACAGCAACCTAACCTAAACTACATAGCTGCGTACAAGGTGAGATCCCACAACCTAGCACCAGATGAGGTAGAGGTGTTGTTCCGCGCATCTCCGAAACCACAGCCAAAACTATCAATGCTGTGAACAAGCCATATTTACAACCACCAGAACACGAATGTAAACACAAACTACTGCGGTTTTGGGCACATCATCGCGGAACTATGAAAGGACTATAGGGGAATCATGTTTCTGATTACCTTAAGCCCTGATACGAGCATAATTCGTAGAACCCGTACAGGACCAACATTGCAAGAGCTTTTCAAACCCCAGAGTACTGCAAAGACTGGAAGATGTCGGACCTTCGGCTCGATTGCACGGTGAAACTGAGTGAGTGAAGGAGCACCCAAAACACTCATCTAAACCCTTACTCAAGGGGTTACGACACTATAGCAGCTGAGTAATGCAATAGAGGTTTGGGTTACCCAGCAGCAGCACCTTATGTAGGGGCCTTAATAATTATTAGAATAGGGGTTTGGGGTGTTTTCTACTATAGCTATAATAAGGTATAAGCCTAAACCCTAAACCCTAAACCCTAAACCCTAAACCCAATATGTTGCAATGTCAAACCATGTTGAGACCGGCATCGCTAAACGCGGGGGCGATGGGAAGCCTCTGGGTCTTTGTGATGCAAGGGTTTAGGTATTTGGGTTTAGGGT